AAAAAAAAAAAAAAAAGAAAACTCAAGAGAAATAACTCCAAAACATGAAAGAGTTCTCTTTGGAATAGAAGCTAGAAGGTAAGCCAGATGAAAAAAGTACAGAGGAAATCTTGGAAGAAAGACAAGTCTGTCCCAAGTAGCTACCTTCTAGGGCAGGGAGCTGCCCAGCAAGCTGCTCATTAGATCATTTGCAATTGGGACATAAGGAAGAGAAAGTGGTTGCCTAAGTACACAATCTTCAAACAAATGGAGAGATCAATCCTTACATCTAAAGAGAACAGAGTTAAAATTGAAAGGACCAAATTGGCGGGGGGGGGGGGTGGTTAAATAAGAGTATGTCAGAGCCTCGGAGAAATAAAAGCAGGAATCATCCAAAATTAAGAACAGGAGATTAAAGAAAAGAAGGCTGTGATAAATAAGCAGCTGTGAAACAATCCTAATGCACAAATCAGTGAAATGTAAAACAGAACGGAGGCACTCTCCCGGAACACAGCACATAAAAATTAAAAAATTAAAAGTACAGAGAAAAAAAACATGAAAAATAGATCCAGAAATTCTATTATTCAGAGTATTAGGGAAGTTATATAAAATAGAGAAGCATTTTCTCAAGAAATAACAGTCAAGAATGTCCACAGTTTAGGACAAGAGTCCTTAGAATCAAAGTGCTCATTCAGGACACCTGGGTGGCTCAGTCAGTTAAGCATCTGCCTTCGGTTCAGGTTACGATCCCAGGGTCCTGGGACAGAGCCCCACATCGGGCTCCCTGCTCAGCAGGGAGTCTGCTTCTCCTTCTGCCCCTCTCCCCTACTGGTGCACGCGCTTTCTCTCTCTCTCAAAAAATCTTAAAAAGGAAAAAAAGAAAAAAGTGCTCACTCAGCACTAAATAAGATAAATGAAAGAAAACCCCACGCTTACCCTGTTGGAAAACTGAAAAACAAAAATAAAAAAAAAATCCTAAAAGTTATTAACAGAAAAGAGTAAGAAATGAAACTGATATTAGATCTCTCATCAGTAACTACAGGCACGTGAAAATACTGGAGAAATAACTACAAACCTCTGAGGAACATTTCCCATCAAAGCAGTTCTGAAACTGTACCAAACTTGACAGCCTTCCTCAATTCAATTAAGACTGTAAGTGCCTGGAACACAGGTCCTGTGTCGTGTACACTAATAACTACATCAGCTACAATCTAGGCAACTTTGTAAGTACCTGACAAGTATTCACTTCAGAGAAATTTAGAAAACTTTCAGTTACTCTCAGGTTTCTGCAAAATCCTTTCTCCTCTCTACTGCTCAGTTCTATCAAAGCATTTCCCAAGCCACTAAGGAAAAAAAAAAAAAATCAACATTCATAAAGCTGGCTAAGAATCCAAACTGTAGTTTACAATTCTACCCTACATTAAGAAGTGGCAATGTATATACCAAGACAGTTGTAATAAATTTAGTCAGAATTAAGTTATATATTTTAAGTTACATATTTATACTCACTGAGGAGAAGGGATTCTCATTTATAGACTATTTCATAGGCTATCAAAACATGGATAATTATTTTTCTTTTATTTATTTATTCTTTTTTCGTTTGTATAATGGTATAAAAGTTTTACTTCTTTGTAACACCATTACCCACTAGCACTAGGACAAATCAGTACAAATCAATGTATTTATTTCCAATCTAGAATTAAGAGTCCAGAAATAAATCTTATTACATACATCATATGGTCAAATGAATTTCAATGAGTGTGCTAGGGCAATTCCACAGGGAAAAGGGTAGTCTTCAACAAATGGTACTCAAAAACCTGGATAGCTATTTACAAAAGAATAGGATGGGATATCAACTCCCCACTATACATAAAAATTAACTGAAAATGGATAATAAAAATGGATTAGAGACCTAAATTTAAGAGCTAAAACTATACAGCTCTTAAAAAAATAGGAGTAAATATTTGTGACCTAGGATTAGGCAATGGTTTCATACATAAGATACACACACACACAAAACACAAGAGAAAAATTAAACTAATCAAAAAATAAACTTTTTTTTTTTTTTTACAAAACAATGACATCAAGTGAAGACAACTCACAAAATGAAAATATTTATGAATTATCTATCTGAAAAAGGACTTGTATCCAGAATATATAAAGAACACTTATAACTGAATAATAAAAAGAGGAACCATTTAAAACACAAAGGACTTAAACATTTTTCCAAAGAAGATATACAAGCCAGTAAGCACATGAAAGGATGCTCAACATCACTAGTCATTATGTAAATGCAAAACGACAACTACAATGAGAGATCATTTTACCCTTAGGATGACTATAATCAAAGACATACAATAACAATACTGGCATGGAGGTGGAGAAATTAGAACTCCCTTACATTGGTGGTAAGAACAGAAAACGGTGCCTAGCAGTTTGGCAGCTCCTCAAAATGCTGTTTAACATAGTTACTATATGGCCAAGCAAGCCACTCATAACCAAAAGAAATGAAAACAACTGGTCTGCACAAAAACTTGTCCTTGAATGTTCACAGTAAAGTTACTCAAAGGAGCTACAAAATGGAAACAAATCAAACGTTTATCAACAGATGAACAGATTAACAAAATGTAGTATGTCCACTAATACTGGAATATTATTCAGACATAAAAAGGAAATAAGTACTGATACATACTACAACATGACTATACCCAGAAAATATTATGCTAAGTAAAAGAAACCAGTCACAAAAAGTCACCCACTGCATGATTCCATTTATATGAAATGTCCAGAATACGGAAATCTCTAAGACAGAAAGTGGATAAATGGTTGCTCACTTCAGCAGCACATATACTAAAATTGGTTGCCTAGAGCTGGAGGTGGGAAAGGTAAAATGAGTGACTGCTTGTGAATGTAAGGTTTCTTTCGGAGGGGAAGAAAAGAACCTAAAATTAGACTGTGGTGACGGTTGTACAACCTTCTGAATAAAGACCATTTAACTGAATACTTTAAATGGATGAAGTGTACAATAAATGAGTATCTCAGTAAAGCTGCTAAAAAATTATACACACATTTATACACAAAACACTATTCATCAAATGTGAGCCTCCCTTACCCACCAAAAGGACTCACAACATTTATCTTCTGTCTTACCTTTTAAGGGCATCTTTGAGTTCAGGCACAGAACGAATACATTGAACTGTAGCATTCATGTAACAAGTGTTGCCAAGGTTTGTCAATCCACATGGTAATTCCATCTGATAAGGACAAGGATTAACACATTTTTATAAAATGACATAGCATATATAAAATCACTAAAGTTCACACTTTGAAGTATAATTTACCAACTCCTACCAATTTATTCCAACTTTACCCAAAACTAACAATGTTTTATACTCCTAACAGAAATATTCACTTGCATTATGTTGAGAAACATTCTGTTTTAATTCTTCTCAAAAATAGTAAGTGATCAATCAAATCAGTCTTGCCTCCTGCCTTTGAAGGCTTATCATTAGAATGGGGTAACAAAGTATACATAGAACACTTCAAAAAAAGAAAATAATACTATAAAAATGGTGGATGGTAAAAAAATGACATTTGACAAGTGTGTGCTGACCAGTTTTCTAAACCAATGTTGCAGTTAAAGATAAATTGTATGTATTTTCAGGAAAGTTTTAAGACTTTTAACATCCCAGCATTTAAACTACTTATCCTCTATAAGCCTCTTTTCCCATAAAATAATAGCACTGTTAGCACTGCCCGATACTTTAAATATTAAAGACACTGAGTTTACACTGATGAGGACTCCTCAAAAGCCAATTTCAAAAATAAAACCTTTTACTTCTAAAAACATACATATCGGGGAGCCTCAGGTCAGGCTCCACACTCAGCGTGGAGTCTGCTGGAAATTCTCCCTCTCCCTCTGCCCCCTCCCCCCAACTCATGCATGCGCTCTCTCTAAATAAATAAAATCTTTAAAATAAACAAAAGTATACACCTTGATATTACCAATCAAATCTTCAAAACACTTACTTTTTTTAAGATTTATTTATTTTAGGGAGAGAGTGTGTGCACTTGAGCGGAAGGAAGGGGCAAAGGGAGAGGGAGAGAATCTCAAGCAGACTCCTCTTAGAGGTGGAGCCCATCACAGGGCTTGATCCCACAACCCTGAGATCATGACCTGAGCCGAAATCAAGAGTCAGACACTTAACCGACTAAGCTACCCAGGCGCCCCAAATCTTTAAAACATTTAGATGCTACTTTCTGAAAGGCATCTTGGTACCTGTAGCAATCAAATATATAAAACGTGGTATATCTTACCGCAGATGCTAACTGTTCTTCTGTCATGTCTTCTACAAAGACAGTTTTAGCTGAGGGTTCCTCAGGAAGAGCATCTGCTGACCCCATCATTAGTAGAGTCATTCCCTGTTTTAAAAAAAATTTAATTTCATAAAAATGCTCAAAAGTTGATAATGTTTATGTCTAATGAAAGAAGCCAGACACAGAATAATAAAACATACTGTATGCTTGTATTTGCCAGAAAAGGTAAATCTACAGAGACACAAAGTAGACTGGGGATTGCTAGGGCTAAAGTTGGGAAGAGGGAGTGACTTTAAACAGACACCTATTATTTTCTGGGGTAATGGAAATGTTCTAAAATTAGATTGTGATGAAGGTTACACAGTCTTGTCAATACACTAAAAATCACTAACAGTTTAAAAAAAAAAAAAAAAAAAGTACTACGGTAGCTGCTCCAGGCCAGAGGTCACCTGCTTATATGCAAAGGGGCACAAGAAAACTTTTCAGAATGGTGGATATTCTGTCTCTTGATTGTGTGGTGGTGGTTATGTGACTGTATTAAACTAACCAAATTCAAACTGTACACGAAAAATAGGTGAATTTTAATCCATATAAATTATACTTCAATGAAGCTAGGGGAAAAATAAATACTGTCACAAAGACAGTTGAGAATGTTACAATATTGGAGGGGAGGGCATTCTCGAAATGATCATTTAGTAGAATTATTTCTTCCCATAACAAACAAAATGCAGATAGCATTCTTTCTGTGAATGTCTATTGTATAACTCTAACAATTACTTATAAATGAATAGAATTATTTTGAGAGCACCCAACCCTCCATTATTGGAAAACATCACACCGAACACATAAATTAGCTCAAAATATCCAATTCTATAATTCTACATTACTAACCTAAGGGAATATTCATATTCAACACATATGTAACATTCCATACAACAGAAAAACAATGAAGAAGATACTGTCCCCTAAATCACATAATCCTGAAATGTTAACAATAACTTACTCTGGAAGACATAAACATGATCTGTGTAGAAGACAAAGAAAAGAGTAGGGAGATTTAAAAAAAAAAAGAGCCAGAAGTGGAGGTTTAAGAAGAAAAAAGTAAGAGAAGATAAAAATTTCCAGATGAGGATTAAAATTAGAAAATAAGGTCGGGGCGCCCAGCTGGCTTAGTCAGTAGAGCATGGACTCTTGATCTCAAGATTTTAAGTCTGAGCCCCATGTTTGGGTGTAGAGATTACTTAAAAATAAAATCTTAAAAAAAAATTTTTTTAGAAGAAAATAAGGGTAACAAACTCAGTCCTGAGAGCACCTATGCTGAAATCCAATAACCTTTATTCTATCACCTGTTATTTTTCCTTAAATTTTCTGTGAGATAATAGCAAAGGAATACTAAACCATCACTAAAGAATCTTTTTCCAAAGACTACTCTCTCAGGAAAACCAAATATTTAAACAACATACTAGCAAATAGTCTGTTAGAAATATGATAGAAAAGAAAATCAGTAAATATCTAAGAGTAAACGTAACAAAATATGTAATACTTTAATAAGAAAACTATAAAGCTTTACTTAGGAATATAAAAAACACCTAAATAATACATTGAAAAGTCATGAACAATTTCTAGACAGGAAAAATTACTGTAAAGATGTGATTCCAAATTAATAAATTTAGTTCTTTTTTGAAACTTTACAAAATGATTCATTCATGTACCAAGTTTATACCCATAATAACAGCTAAGAAATTTCTAAAAAAGAATAAAGACTAAAATAATGCCATTTAAGGTAAGAAAATAGATTATACAATGAAGAATGTTGAGAAAAACTGGATAATTTAGAAAAAAATATCAGTTCTCCACCCCACTGTTGCTTTTCAGCACCCAAAATGAATTACAAATTAAAGACTTAAAAAATAAAACAAAGGGCGCCTGGGTGACTCAATGGGTTAAGCGTCCGACTCTTGGTTTCAGCTCAGGTCATGATCTCATGGGTGGGGAGATCAAGCCCCACAACGATGGGCTCCACACTCAGTCAGGAGTCTGCTTGTAGATTCTCTCCTTCTGCCCCTCCCCCAACTTGCACACATGTGCTCACGCTCTCTCTAAAATAAATAAAGTCCTTTAAAATAAATAAGTAAAACCATATAATTACCAAAACATGTAAGTGAATAAAAAAAAAAAAATCTTGCTTTGCTGGAATATTTTCTAAAATTGACATAAAAGATGAATGGACTAATGTTACCACATATACCTTGAAAACGTCTGTAAAACATTACCAGTCAAATTTAAAAGGAAAAAAATGGAAAAAAGGTTACACTATATAGAAGCACGTAAAAAAAAAAATCAGTAACGTGAACACAATAGAAAACTGGACAAAAGATATAAACAGTAAACAAAAAGGCTTAAAATAAAGCTTCTACCATAAGAAGCTAGAAAAAGTATACATTAAAACCAAAGTAAAAGGAAATAAAGCAAAGAGGTGAAATCAGTAAAATAATAAATGAACAAGCAAAAGTTGATTCTTTGCGGGGGGGGGGTAAATCAATGAAATTGACAGACCTCTGGGTAGATAACGAAGAAAGTGAGAGAAACCACAATTTGCCAATTCCAGGGGGAAAAAAAGAGAGAAAACAGCACTAGAGACTCTAGAATTAAAGGATAATAAGAGTGCATTATGCCAATCAAGTTGACAAGACTGTAAATTAAATGGACAATCCTTAAAAGATGCTAATTACCAAAACAGATGTCAAAGAAAATGTAACATCTGAATAGTCTTACATTTATTAAATACACTAAATTCCTAAATGAAAGTCTTCCCACAAAGAAAGCTCCAAGCTTCACTGGAGAATTCTATGAACCATTTAAAGAAAATCTCTTTCAGAAAAGAGGAGAGGTGGGGGATATCTCCCTAACCCATTTTATATGGCCAGGATTACACTGATAGCAAAAGCAGACAAAGACAAGTCAAGACTATAAGCCAGTAATTCTCACAAACAGAAATACAAAAATCCCTTACAAAATACCACCAAATAGAATCGAGCAATATATAAAAAGGAAAATACATAATGACTAAGTGGGGTTTATCCCAAGAATGAAAAGTTGGTTTACTATTCAAGAGAGTCAATGTATTTCACATTAACAGATTAAAGGATAAAAAATTATCTTTGCAATAGATATGGAAAAAGTATTTGAAAAATTCAACTCCCATTCATGAATAAAAACTCTCAGCAAACTACAAATAGAGAACTTCCTCAAACTAATGGTGAACATCTATAAAACAACTCCAACCAAATCTAGAGACTTTTCTCCTAAGATCAGGAAAAATCCTACTGTCAACCAATTCTACTCAATATTGTGCTGAACATCCTAACCAGTGAAATAAAGCAAGGAAAAAGAAAAATAAAAGGCATGGAGACTGAAAAAGAAAAAAAAATTTTTCATATTTGCAACATGATTGTATCCTATCTACGTTATCCTAAACAAATATGTAAAAATCAGCAAAATCACAGGATACAAGATCAATATACAATAATTAATTCTACTTCTATATGTTAGCAATAAACAATTAGAAAATGACATTTAAAAAATACCATTTATGATAGCATCAAATACCATGAAATACTTAATGACATTTTAAAAAAAACATGTACGATCCTGTATTGAAAATAAAAGGGGTGCCTGGGTTGCTCAGTCGATTAAGCATCCAACTCTTGGTTTCAGGTCAGGTCATGATCTCATGGGTCGTGAGATCAAATACCTTGGGCTCCACGCTCAGCAGGGAGTCTGCTTGAAAATTCTTTCCCTTTGCCCCTCCCCTGACGCGCACAGTGAGCACACGTTCTCTCTCTCTCAAAGAAATAAATCTTGAAGAGAAAAGGGAGAAGGGGGAAAGGCAAAAGAAATTAAAGAAAACAGGGCCCTTAGGTGGTTCAGTCAATTAAATGTCTGCCTTTGGCTCAGGTCATGATCCCAGGGTCCTGGGATCAAGCCCTGAATCAGGATCCCTGCTTGGCAGGGAGTCTGCTTCTCCCTCCCCCTCTGCCCCCCCACTCATGTACACACTCTCTCTCAAATAAATAAAATCTTTAAAAAAATATATATATAGAACACTGCTGTGAGAAATTTTTTTTAGAATACTCAAGATGTCCCAATTTGGGGGTCCAGGATGGCTGAGTTAGGTGTCCAACTCTTGATTTTGGCTCAGGTCATAATCTCAGGGTTGTGAAATCAAGCCCCGCATCAGGCTCCATGCTGGGCGTGGAGCTGCTTAATATTCTCTCTCTCTCTCTCCTGCTGCTATTGCCACTGCCCCTCCCCCCACTCATGCACACAGGCTCTCTCTCAAAATTAAAAAATGTTTAAAAATTTTTTAAAAAGACAACCCAATTTGATATATAGTATCAATGTAATTCCAATCAAAATCCCAGCAGACTCTTGTAGAAAATAAGCTGAGTCTAAAATGTACAAAGGACATGCAAAGATCTTAGAATAGCCAATAGTTTTGAAAAAGAGGAACAATCAGACTCCTACTACTTGATTTCAAATCTTGAATAATCAAGACAGTGGGAGTGGGTATCGATGTAAAGGTACATATACAAATCAAGAGAAGAACAGAATCCAGAAACAAACTTACATGTGCTCATACAACTGACCACTCATACGAAAAAAAAATAAACCTCCACCATTACTTAACAAAAAACACAAGAGTCTGCTCAAAACAGATAATATACCTAAGTATAAAAACTAAAACTTGTAAAAGTTTTAGAAAACAGAAGTCTCACACACCACACCCACAC